CTATAATCTGTAATATTCTCCGATATTTATCTGTGTTTTATTTGTATCATTATCTCATATCTGGTGTTGTGAGAGAGAAATCTGCAGCCAGCCTGTTTTTATTTCATTCCCATGTGATCTTGTTTCTCTTCTTCTCCTCCTAGATACTCATAGGATTTTAAATTAAATAATTCCATAAGCACATCTTTGAGAATGCTTTGCTTTCTAATTAATTTTTTCCACTAAATGGAAAGCCCCTCTGATATGCTAATGTATTGCTCCTTGGTTTGGGATTTTTTTTTTTCTATTTTGAGTAATGTTTCCATTATGTTTATTTCATGTATTTCTTCAGGAATAACATTTAGCTATTTGTTAGCGCTTCATTAACTGTTTTTATTATTTTGCTTATATTCACCTTTCAAACTTCTGTTCATCAGTGGCTTCATTTTCTAAGGCTTAAATATTAACAAATATCATAATGACTCCTATTTCAATACWGTTACAGCATTTTTTTTTCTTATTTTTGTTACTACTATTATCTCTTGGGAAAACTATCTTTTGTTTTATCTGAACTTTTCTTACTTGTTTCATGAAAACATTTAAATATTTTCTTAGAGACAGGTTCTATAAGGTAGAACCTTTCTAGATTTTTTTTTTTTGTTTCCTGTATTAAATCTTTTCAAAAGGACATTCTTTCTGGATGTGGTTAACACATGATTGTAATCCCAGTGACTTGGGAGGCTGAGGATCACAAGTTTGAGGCCAGCCTCAGCACTTGAGGCCCTAAGCAACTTAGTCAGACCCTGTCTCAAAATAAAAATATAAAAAGGGCTGGGAATGTGCCTCAGTATTAAGTACCCCTGGAATTCAATTTCTGTTACCAAAAAAAAAAAAAAAAAAACCAAAAAAGACATTCTTCATTCAATTCTTTGAATACTTTATTATTTCTTATTCTTTAAGGCTTTCTTCATATAACTAATATTAGATTTTTCTGTGTACTCATCTTTGAATGAAGATAGGTCATCTCTGGCTACCCAAAGTTAATATAGGGTAGATTTCGCTGGCATTTCTTAACTGTTCATCTTGGAGGCATTAGAATATTACTTTTAGGTCTCTGGTAGGAGAATAATCACTCATCCTATTTTTTCTGACCTAAGCTAGGAAGAGTTTGGGAAGCTGTAATTGCAGAGAGAAGCATCCTTTAATTGCCCATGGTAGTCTGCATTTGCTCCATTGTGCCTCAGTTTTGGAATCAGAGCATCTGCTTATATTAGGGTGGGAATGTAATCTTACTATTGCTTGTTCCTTCCTAGAAACTGAGAATCCTGTTTCTGAATCTGAGCCAGGGATGGGGACTTGCTAACTGTGGGAGACTTCCCTGATGTTAATTATGYAACTACTGAAACCTCTGGAGTCTCTGAAAAATTCTTACTTTTATATGTGTTCTTACTTGATCCTCCCCTTCTCCCACTGTGTCATTGTCAAATGATGAACCTTTTCTGATGCCAGACATAGAGGAGCATCTTTACTTACAATTTTGTTTTTTTAAAGAACGATTTTTTTTTTTTTTAGTTGTCGATAGACTTCTATTTTATTTATTTATATGTGGTGCTGAGATTCGAACCCAGGGCTTCACACATGCCAGGCAAGTGCTCTACTGCTGAGTCCCAGCCCCAGCCCCTTCACCTACAATCTTTATACTTCATTTATAATATTGTATTCTATCATCTGTTTTCTGTTTCTTTCCAGCATGGGTTTCTGGGAGTGACCTAACTCTTACATTCCCCATTCTCCACATCGTCTGCCATGTCTTAGCTGTTAGGCTGATTCTGACACCATCTTCACCTCTTATGTGGCTTTGTTCAGTGCTGCATAATCAAGGCGATGGCCTAAGATATTATACCAAAGAGCACAAGATATAATTCCTGTTTGAGGTCTAGCTGGTGATATGTGCCATAGAAGTACATATATCAGAGATTTGATGTCTTATGTCCTACTCCCCTATACCATTCATGTTATAAACAAGGAGACAAAGTTTTGTACCACACATCATGGCTGGTGGTACAGTTAGAGACAGAATCAACAGTAAACTCATTTAAATTTCTATTTTATTTACTTTGAACAAATAGTCCTATTGGTATGCCTTCAGCATATTTTAAAAATACAGATTGGAGTAAAAAAAAGCCATATCAGGATGGTCTATCAATGTTTGATATTCTATTAGTACATTTTTTTTWAAAATGGAAATACCCAAACAGGAAATTATTTGGAAATTTATCTGTTCCCATAACTCCATTATGTAAAAGCTAAATTTTTTTGGAAAGTAAAACAATGTCATTCCACCAGATGTCACTGTTTGCATGTAGCAATGAAGTCACAATGATTTAAAAATACAATGCCCCCCCAATCTTATTGTGTAAAAAAAAAAAAAATTCTATATAATTATAGGTGTGCTCTTTTTGTAGACTCACCATTTTGAGACTATCATCTTTGATTTTTAAAAAGCATACAGAGTATTCACATTCCTCTCTTGAAGTTTTTAAAGAAAAAAATTATACAAGGCTACAGAAAATGATTTGTAGATTAGCATCTTCAAGAAGATGAATTCCTGAAGATTTTTCCCAGACCTTCGGAGTCTATTTTTTTAAACATTCGCTGATGTAAGCTAATGCTTTCCAGGTTGTGGATTCAGACCCCATAAATAGGTTGTAAAATCAGTTTAGTGCTTTAAAGAAATGGTGTCTAGAATAAAACAGCCCATCATAGCAGAAGGGCGTGGTGGAGAAAAGCAGTTCAGGACATGGCAAGCAGGCAACTGAGAGCTCTACTTGCYCAGGACAAAATATAAATCTCAAAGGCACACTCCCAGTGACCTACTTCCTCCCGGCACACCCTATCTGCATACAGTTCCCCACCCAATTAATCTATATCAGTGGATCAATCCACTGACTTAATCTAACAACTCTTATAATCTAATCATTTCACCTCTGAAAATTGCACACACTTTTTGGGGCCACCTCATGTCTAAGCCGTAACACCTGGGACCCATTCTCCTCTCTGCTTCCTGGCCTCCATCTGGGGAGCAGTCCTCCTCTGCCATGCCCTTCTGCTGTAAGGTTTTGCCGCACCTTGGGCCCAGAGCAGTGGAGTGGGCAGACCATGGACTGAATCTCTGAAACCATTAGCCAGAAAAAGTTCCCTTCTTCTAAGTTGTTCTTGCCAGGTATTTTGGTTGTAGTGAGGAAAAGCTAACAAATGAGAAAAAGGGAGAAAAAAATCCCACCCACTATAGTTAACCCATCTCTTCAAGAAAGGTATTAAGCCCTCCATAAGGGCCCTAAATCCATGACCCAAACACTTCCCACTAGGTCCCAGCTCCCAACACTGCTGCTTTGGGGACCAAAGTGCCACCCTTTCCCCACAGCCTAATCTTAGAACTTTCTTATTGGTCTTGATGTATTTATACTCTGGGTTTCCTCTCTTAGTCCCTAGTCCTGTTCCTGTTCTTTCATTTTTGTAAATATATCTATCAGTCAAGATTCAGTTGCAGAAAATAGAAACGTCTTTAGTGAAGGTATTGAGTAAGGGCAAGTTCATGCTTATAAAATCAATGGAAAGATCACCATTAGTCAAGGAGGGCTTCAGGAAAAACCCACACAGCSTGCTTAACTGGCTGCTGCTGCTCTTCATCAGGAAGGTGGGAAGCTGAAAGCCACACTGTCAACATACCACCTTAGCTGAGATTCAGGTATTAAGTGGCCTCTACTGTCACCACCTTCGACTCTGGAGCCACACTATGTCTGTTTAATATGCTCACTGGCCCAAACGACAATTTACAAAAAGAGTAACTGGGACACTGCTMCCGAAGAACCAGACAACTTTGTTCCAACTGTGCTTGCCAAGAGAAACCCCAGAACTTTCGGCCTTCTGAAGTGGTTAGTGGGACCTACATCATCTCATCTAGAACACTGGCTACAGCAGGGTTTTTACCTCTTTATCTTCAGAGCTCAGGAAAGCACAGTAGAATGGAGTGGGTGTTGGTGGCAGTGACATTTAACAGGCTGGGAGTTGAGATCTAACTTCTCTTTGAATTCAGATATTTGGCAAGGTGAGATAGGTTGCTTATTTTCATGAGTCTACTTTGGAAAATTTCTATCTTCTTTAGTCTGAAGTTGGGCAGACTACCCCTTAGGAGCTGGTAAGATGGAATTTGAGAGTTTTAGCATATTATCAACAAATACAATGTATATATTTATTTTTTTACATCTAGTGACTCATATGGGCTGTTCATATAATAGAAAAGTTAAACCTCTGAATATTTTTATGTGAAATTGATAGAACTATAGTCTGTAGAGGCCCATTTTTTATTCATTATGTATTTTATATTTAATAGTCAGTTACACAATCCAAAAATTAATGTATTTTCAAGCCACCCACAGGTCAGTCATTAATGATACATTCTGCCTGCAAAGTTTGATTTATCTCATATCTTGGGGATAAATTAAGGCTTTTATTGATATTTTTTTAATCTATATATATATTCTTAGATATATGTAGCTGGTAGCCTACCAAGGGAAGATCTGACACCAAAACAGTTTTCTGTACATCTCAGCAAGATGTGGATCAAGAAGACAAAACTGTAATGTGAGAAGGCAGTTCTGCTCAGGCTGGTGTTTTGCCCCAAATCTTTGTTGTGAGTRTGGAGTGTGGAGTAGGTTAGAAGTCAGGTCATAGAGAATTTTGGATCTCTTCTATAATTGGGCTTTCATAGAGTGAATGTATTATTTTTCCAGTATAATAAAACAAAACCATCASAAAGGTTACTATTAAGAGGTACTCAGAGCCAAACAAATTATTTTTTGGGTTCTCCTTTTTGAGTATTTGATCTTTTCACAATTTTTACTTAGTGACAATGTCAAATGACCATATGTTTATTTTAACGGAGGTATGAAAAGAAAGCAAACATTTATTTGCTTTATCAATAATGTAAAGAACACTAATTTTTAAAAATTACATTTTAGAATACTGTATGGAATTCCTGTTAAGAGAGAAAACGAAGACTATGCCTGTGTCCCTCTGGTGCCACCAGGGACACCTTCTGAATTGGCACAAGGAACTATGCAATATGTTCACAACCTGCAACTCTCAGGAGAGGAGGTAAGAACTTTCTTCAGTATTACTTTTATCTACCTCATACATTCTCAAACATTTTGGATTATGACCCTCTTGACACTCTTAAAATTACTGAGGTTGTAATAATGGTTTATTTGAGATACCTATATTGACATTTACAATATTAGAAATTTAAACAAAATGCCAAAATATTTATTTTTAAAATAGTAGTAATAAAGTCATTTGTTAATATAAAAATGTATTTTTTATGAGAAATAATTATGTTTTTAAAAACAAAAAACATAGTGAAAAACTAGGATTATTTACTTACTTCGAAAATTTCTTTGCTGTCTGCCTGTATAGAAGACAGCTGGATTCTCAAGTCTACTTCTGTGTACAATTCTGTGGGTGGTTTGATTGAAATAATATGAGAACAATTCTAGTTTTTAAACAGATATGTAGTTGAAAAAGAAAAAAATACCTTAATGCCATTTTTTACATAATTTTAAGATATTCTTTAATATATCCAAATTTAAGAAGCAGTAGTTATCTTGAGAGTTTGCTGTGAGACTTCCACTTCTGGGTAAGGTAGGGTAGAATCAGTTTTCCCTCTTCTTCCTGCCCATTACAGGTCAAAAACCTGGGCATGACAAAGGTAAGACAACCGTTCATGTGGAGAGAAGGAGGCATACTAGCTAGGAGCTTTAGGACTCAAGGAATGACATGGGTTTTCTCTTTCTCCTTCCCTCCCTCCTTCCCTTTTCCTTCCTTTCTCTCTTTCTCTTTCTCCTTCCTTTCCCCTTCCTTCTTTCCTCCCTCCCTCCCTCCCTCCCTCCCTCCCTCCTTCCTTCCTTCCTTCCTTCCTTCCTTCTTTCTTTCTTTCTTTCTTTCTTTCTTTCTTTCTTTCTTTCTTTCTTTCTTTCTTTCTTTCTTCATAAATCCTAGAATTGAGCTGAAAAAGCTGGTAATCTGGAAATGCTAACAGGTAAAGACAAAAAAGAAAACAAAAAAATCCAATACTTGCTATCTCTAGCCAAAGAACCAGGAGAAGTGCAATCCAGCAGAACAGAAAATCAGAAAATTTTTAGGAAAATAACTGTTGTATTCCAGAAAAAACTGTCCCCATCCTACCTCCACCAGTAAAGGGAGTAGAAAGAACACTAACACTTCTGCCAGTATGGTTCCAAAAAGGGCTGCGTGTCCAGCAGTTACTTTGATTCTAATGGAGTGGTAATGAGACACCCCCATGCTGCCAGATGAGACCACAAGGGATTCTATCCCCATCCTAGTTACAAGCCACACCCCTCCCCAGCGGTGGAATCAGAAGAGGTCTAGTAGAGTGTCAGTTAAACAAGAGGTTTAAATAGGATCTAGAGTCTTATGGCTTAAGACCCCAAATATCCAAATTTCAACTGAAATTTATTAATCTTATTCAGCACTAGAAAAATCTCAAACTGAATATCAATAGATACCATCACTGAGATCTCAGAAACATTAAAATTATCCAACAAAATTTTAAAGCTGCAACCATAAAAATGCTCCAATGAGCAATTACGAACAACTTTGCAACATAGTTAAAAAAAAATAGATTCATAAAGGACAGTGACACAGACTGAAATCCTAAAAATCTAGAGATTGAGGCAGGAGGATTGCAAGTTAGAGGTCAGTCTCAGCAACCTTAGTGGGATCCTCAACAAATTAGCAAGACCCTGTCTCAAAACTAAAATATAAATAAAAAAATTAAAAAGGATGGGGAAGATAGCCCAGAGACAAAGCATACCTGGGTTCAATCTCCAGTACAAAGAAAAAAAGAAAATAAGACTTTGTAAAGAAATAAAAGATGCAGAGAAGAAACAGGCACAATTTAGACTTAAAAAATGACTTAAACCTGAAACATTAGGGAGTGAACTGAAAAGTAAAATTAGTATAGAATCAATGAACTTGAAGACAGAACCTTAGAAGTTACCAAATCTAAACAATAAAAAGAAAATAGACTGGAAAAAAATAGTAATTAGCCTCAGGGATTGTAGGACTATAGCAAAAGATCTAATATTTTGTGTTATGATGATCCCCAAGGGGAAGAAAAAGAGAGAGAGACTGAAAAAATAACTTAAAGAAAAAATGGCTGAATATTTCACCAGTTTGGCAATTCAAATTTACAGATTCTATGAAAACCCCCAATAGAAAACACCCAAATATATGTTAGTTAAGTAAGTTTATTAGTAAAAATTCTGAAAACCAGACAAGAAAACATCCTGAAAGCAACGAGAGAGGGACACATGTTACCCACAAGGGAACAGCAATGTGATGGAAGTGGATTTCCCCTCAGAGACTATGGTGGCTAGAAGTAAGTGGCAGAATATTTTCTAAAGTGTGAAAAGAAAGGAACTGTGAACCCAGCTCCCTGTATCCAAAGAAATATTCTTCAGGAATAAAGGGGAATAAAGACATTCTCAGGAAATCAAGAGAATTTGTTGCCAACAGACTTACCCTAAAAGAATGGCTAGAGGAAGTTCTCTAAACAGAAAGAAAATGATAAAGAACAACTATCAGAACAATAAGGGGTGGGAGTTAGGGAAGAAAAGAAGTACTTTGGATTAACAAAGGGGAATTGAAGGGAAGGGAGGCAGAATGGGAAAAGGAAAGAGTAGAATGAGTCAGACATTACTATCCTATGTGCATATATGATTCCATGACTAATGTAATTCTACATCATGTACAACCAGAAGAATGAGAAGTTATGCTCCATTATATGTATAATATGTCAAAATACATCCTATTATCATGTATAACTAATTGGAACAACAACAAAAAAGAATATCTGGAAGGAACAAGAACATGTACAGCAAAAATAGGGATAAAAACAATAGTGTTGTTTCTCCTTTTGAGTTTTCCTAAGTATACGTATCAGTCAAAACAAACATTATCACACTAATGTGGTTGTAAATGTGTACAGAGCAAATTCCTAAAGACAATTATAAATGGGGTAAGGTAAAGAGACATAAAGGGAGCTAAGTCTTCTACATTGTCACTTGAATTGGTAAAATGATGACATCAGTAGACTGTGGTAAGTTATGTTTATGTTTCCTAGTATCYACATCAATAAGTAATAAGCTATGTAAAACATTCACTCAAAAACACTATTGTAAAAGTGGAATTTTAAAGTATATTCAAGTAACCCACAGAAATGAACAGAAAGGGAGAAAGAAAACAGATAATCAACAGAAATCAGAAAAACAGAAAACAAAAACTAAAATGGCATACGTCAGCCCTAAATGAAATATAAAATGTTAAATACACAAATTACATGACAGAGTGGCAGAAGGGATTAAAAAACATGATCCAATTGTGTGGTTTCTATCAGAAACGGAGTTAAAATACAATAATAGATTCACATTGAGAATAGGATGGTAAAAATGAATATACAAATGTTAAACAAAGAAAAGTGTGAATGGCTATATTAATATCAGATGAAAGGAATTTCCCGAGTACAGAAAGTTATCAGAGACAGAAAGGGGTGCTGTGTTATAATAAAATTGTGAATACACCAATAAGACAATAATCTGAGAAAGTGCATGCACCAAACAGCAGAACAGCAAAATATGAAGAAAAATTACAGAACTGACAAGAGAAATAGGCAATTCTACTTTTCTAGTTAGAGACTTCAGCATCCCCTTTTCAACAACTAATAGCACACTTTTAGAAAATCAGTAAGGATATTGAACTCAACAGACCCATTGTCTAACAGGACCCAGTTGAAACTTGGAAGTATGCAGAAACCAACAAAAGCAGAATACATATTCTTTTCATTTACCACAACATGTATGCCAGAATAGAGTCCATTGCAGAAGCAAACAAACAAAAAAAATCAATAACAAGAGAATGACAGAAGACACCTCTAGACATTAGGAATCTAAACTATACAGTTATAAATAATCAATGGGCTGAAGGGGGAGTTTCAAGCAATTTCAAAATGCATTGAAATAAATGAAAATATAACACATAAAAAATTGTGGGACACAGCTAAAAGAAGGTTGAGAAGGGAAATTTATGGCATTAAATGCTTACAATAGAAAAAATAAAGTCTCAAAATCAATCATTTTAACTCCCATCTCAAGAACCCAGAAAAAGAAGAGCAAAATAAACCCAAAGCAAGAGGCAGGAATGAATAATGAAGAGCAGAAATCAATGAAATCGAGAGCAGAAAGAAAACTGGTAAAAAAGCCAGTTCTTGAAAGGATCAATAAAATTGATCTCTGGTAAAACTGATGGGAAAAAAATGTCAAGAGAAGACATGAATTAACAATATAGAAATGAAACGAGAAATTATCATGGACCCCAGAAAGCATCAACAGAACACTACTATGAACAACTCTACACACACACAAATTTGACAACTTAGATGAAATGAGAAATTCCTCAAAAACAACAACAACAACAACAACAACAACAACAAAAACAAACTACCACAGCTCATTCAATGGAAATAGATAATTGAGGGGGGATCCAAGATGGCAGGCCAGAGGGAGGAAGCATTCCGTGTTGCTTGTTGACCTGGGTCTCAGCTAATGGGAATACTGTTTTGCTGAGAGTGATAGAGGACCACTCCACAGCTGATCTCTTATAGGAATAATCATGGCCACTGTGTCCTGTGGGGCCCCAGGCCTCAGCTTAGAAAAGGACTCCCGACTCCTGACTACTTGCCCATGCAGGTCTGAGGGTGTCATAAGGGGGACCATTGGGATCAGCGCAGGTGCAGAATTTCCAGACACCGCTCCCATGAAGGACACTGAGTCGCTACCCACATGCAGGAACTCAAGCTGCCATTCCTGTGTGGACCCCCATCTACTAATGTGGGACTCCCTTGGTCCCCTCCATCTTGGGGCTCAGCAGCTACTGCCATAGTCCCCTACTCATGGGGGCCTGCCTGCACCTTGGACATCACAGGCTCTGAAGAAAGCCTACATCTGCAACCCAGTATACCACAGAGCTCATCTCTGAATGCATGGCACAATGTCTTTGCCTGGCTCCCCCCACCCGACCCA